TGAAATTGTTTAATTTTTTAAAAAGAATCATTGCGTCTATAATAGTTTCGAATTTGGATATCTTGTTTTTGTTCATCAATTATGTCTCCGGTATATACATATATACTTCTAGGGTGACGGACAATTGCATTGTTCTGATGCGCAATTAAAGGGAGGGGTTGTACATATATTTGTATAAAAAAGCATAAGGCTCCTCTCTCATCAAAACTAGACACTATCTATTAATTGTCACCGCAACAGTGACAGCCAATAGATGACGTTTTGATGTTTAATTTGATGGTAGAGGTTCCCTATATCAATTTCCTACGGGCAAAGTTTCCATCTTTATATTTCTATGTATAGAATAAGGTACTCTATAAGTTCTAGGGAGTGTGTTGTTGTCTCCACTCACTCACTACATGTTGTCCCAGCAGAACATGTCTCCACTGAAAGGTTCCTGGAGCACCTCCCGGGTGTGCAGTTCCCAGCAGTACTGGGAGTCCCACGGACTGGATATGAGGCTGGAGACACCGGTGAGTCCAAAATTCCCACATACCCAGTATAGCTGTTGACACAGATGTCACAGAGCAAGTCCCTGATTGGTGACTCCTCCGTTGTCTTCTCCCCTCCCTCCATTGTCAGGGACACCTTGCCTGAAGAGATGGACATCCTGGAGCCACCTGCCACTCCGCACTTTGTTGGGGTGAGTCCTGACTGACTTAGGGCCTGGTCAGCTCATTGGATGTTGTTGTTAGCGTTCCACTTTTGGTGACAAATATTCTCCAATTTGAACTGATATTTGGTTCATATAGTTTTATCTCAGCACTGGTTGATACAGAAGTGGGTTGCCAGTGCCTTCTTCAGTCTATCCATTTGTGAGTGGTAATAAAGCAGTGTTTCACCTTGAAAAATTTCATGATTTCCTTCAGGAGATTGCTTGTGAATCCTTATTGCTGATTAGATAACGAGGGACTCAGTGCCTAAGAAAAACAACTACAAGAAATTTAGCGACTTCTATTGCGGGGACATCTTGGGCTTTGGAAAATTTTTAACGGCGTCGATTTTTCGGTTGTTGTTGTCGTGTCCAAAGAAGAGTCTCAGATGTCTCCATGCATCTCCATCACAGCAGCAGCAATATCCACTATCTTGGGTGTGTAAAGCTGCTGCTCTGGGTCTAAGTCAATTTTCTGCAAGGCTGCGGCCATTGCTGGGCATGAGAATATGTGAGTAGGTGTTAGTTCCACACCAGGACAGTTGTTGCATGCTTTATAAGTTCTTGTGCCATCTGGATGTATTGTCATTCCTTTATAGTGTTTTGTTCTAAGTCTTGTTATAGTTTTTGTCAGTTTTCTCTCAGAGTTTATTTCACATATTTGATCTTTTCTTATTTTTTGTTTGATTTTATCTTGTATTTTGCCAAAGCATCAGCGTCAAATACTGACATTTGTTCTTTCCGTTGGCTCAGCTTTCTGGCTTCCTTTGCCAATTCATCTGCCATTTCATTACCCTCGATCCCAACATGGGCAGGAATCCATTGTAGAATGCAGTTCTTCTCCAATGTTTCCAGTTGGGTAAGTAATGAGTGTATTTTCTGCGTGATTCTAGTATTGCCCTTGTGAATTGCTTCTAGAGCGGATCTGGAGTAGCTGTATATTATGATTCCTTCTGCTTGATGCAGGGATGGTTGGTTCAGGCATACATCAAGGGCTTTCCAGATAGCTGTCAGTTCACAAGTGAAGTTTGACGAAATCTTTCCTGCTCCTTCTTTGATTTTGATGTGTGTTCCATCTTGGAGTATTAAGTTGTGATGTTCTAAGTAAAAGAACGAGTTCCGCAGAACATGAGAAGATCTATGACAATAGAAACTTTAACTTTATTATTATCTTTACCTATATATATACATCGCGCTTCTCGCGGACATGCAAATATACAAGCAAAAATATATAAAACCAAACAATACTATGCAAATATCTCGAGGTATGCGACAGACTCTCCCTCCATGACCTCTCATCACTCCTGTGATGGGACTCCGGGTGGTCTATGATGAAATTGTCCTCCGGCCACTTGGTGATGGTTATATCCTGCTTCCAGTTGATGGGGGTCGAGGTTACATCAGTGATTTCTGGCCCTACCCTCACACCGCCTTTGACAAGGCATCTCATCTTGTACGATTTGGTCAATGTCTCGTTCTCTAGATTCGGGTTGGAATTGAAGTCAAAATGGATTGAAAATCCCATTGAACCTTCATAGCTCTCGACACGAATGTCTTTAAGATATGCCAGAACAGGCTCGTCATAGGGTTGGATGTAATACAATTCCAGGCAATCTACGAGTAATTCCATCTTCGGTCTAGTTGGTCTGCCTATTTTGACATACCACTTCTGAGTTCGAAGTAGCTGCAGGTAACGATAGAACCTCGTGGCCTCTAAAGTAAAGGATAAGACATCCTCCCCAATCATGGCAATGTCACGTAGTCCTTTCTTTGTCCAATTCGCTTTCACAACTTCCTCGTATATATCTACAGGAGATCCTGGTAGAAAGAAGATTGTTTTACCTCTATGCAAATATCCACTTTCTATCTCTGAAATTTCCATCATTCCAATGTCGTATTTATCAAGCATGTTTTTTTGCATCTGGCTGAATTCTTTAGCATAAATCCAAACTTTTTGGCAGCGTGTTAATTTCTTTAATACCTTTAAAATTAACAAACGACATCTTGCACATGATTGCATTTATCGAAATCACCTATTCCATGGCAGATAATAGCATCACATATTCCTAATTTCATATTTCTTTTTTCACCGCTTGTTTGAAACGAATAGATTCCTTTTTTGAGAGTTTCCAATAGAGTATCGTAACAAGGTAGCTCTCTCAAAGCTCTTTTCAATAACTTCATGTCTTTGGTGATGGTGATTCTGTTATTCCAGGTGGTGGAGAGGCTCAACTCCTTTGGAGGTGCTTCTTCGCCGGTACCAGGCTTTGGTTCTTTTTCGCCAGTACCAGACTCCTTAGTAGGTTCTTTTTCGCCAGTACCAGGCTCCTTAGTAGGTTCTTTTTCGTCAGTACCAGACTCCTTAGTAGGTTCTTTTTCGTCAGTACCAGGCTCCTTAGTAGGTTCTTTTTCGCCAGTACCAGGCTCCTTAGTAGGTTCTTTTTCGTCAGTACCAGACTCCTTAGTAGGTTCTATTTCGCCAGTACCAGACTCCTCAGTAGGCCCTTGTTCCCCAGTAACAGACTCCTTAGTAGGTTCTGTAGAATCTTCAGGCTCCATTCCACTATCAGCAATAACATCTACCTCTTTCGTAAGAGGCTCTGCACTTTCAGTTTCTATAACTGACTTTTTATCAACTTGAGCTTTTTCACTTTCTTCAACTTCAACAGACTTTTTTTCAACTTCGGCTTTTTCACTTTCCCTCGTTTCTACAACTGAATTTTTTCCAACTTGAGCCTTTTGACTTTCTTCAACTTCTACAACAGACTTTTCAAGACTTACTCCAGACTCGAGGCTTTCTCCAGACTCGAGGCTTTCTCCAGACTCGAGGCTTTCTCCAGACTCGAGGCTTTCTCCAGACTCAATACTTTTTACAGACTCAATACTTTCTAGAGACTCAATACTTTCTAGAGACTCAAGGCTTTCTAGAGACTCAATACTTTCTAGAGACTCAAGGCTTTCTAGAGACTCAAGGCTTTCTAAAGACTCAAGTCTTTCTCCAGACTCAAGGCTTTCTAGAGACTCAAGGCTTTCTTCTTCTTCCTCCTCTTCCTCTTCTTCCTCATCTTCTTCTTCCTCTTCCCCATCTTCTTCTTCTTTTTTATTTTCAAAAAGAATGTTCATCATCAAGCGTTGCTGCTCCCTCATCAAGCGCTGTTGGTCCGCCATCGCCCTGATGAGGCTTTCAATGGTCGATCCTGCCGGCTGCGCCATATTGTGGTGTTCTAATTAAAAGAATGAGTTCCGCAGAACATGAGAAGATCTATGACAATAGAAACTTTAACTTTATTATTCTCTTTACCTATATATAAACATCGCGCTTCTCGCGGACATGCAAATATACAAGCAAAAATATATAAAACCAAACAATACTATGCAAATATCTCGAGGTATGCGACATAAGTTAATTCCGGCCCCTCCATTACTCAGATATTTCGGTCTGAAGGCTTTATTCCATGTTGGCTTGTTATGTGGCCCAGTATTTCTAGTTCTTCAAACACATGTCTGCATTTTTTAGCATTTTAAGTTTGATTCACGGAAACAATTGAAAACTGCCTCCAGTCTTTCGAGATGAGCTTTAAAATCATGACTATATATAATGATGTCATCTAAAAAACTTACACATATTATCCATTTCAGACTTTTGAGAAGTTATCCATAAGTTGTTCAAATGTGGCTGGAGCATTACATAAGCCAAAAGGCATAACATTAAATTCATATAAACCGTGGCATGTTGTGAAAGCTGTTTTCATTTTGTCCTCCTCTTTAATTTCAACTTGCCAACACCCTGATTTAAGATCAATTGCTGAGAACCCTGGGAAGGGTGTCCATGACATAATCGACTCTGGGGATCGGATAAACGTCCTTCACAGTTATATCATTGAGCTTCCTGTAGTCGATGCAAAACCTCCAACTGCCATCCTTTTTCTTAACCAATATGACTGGGAACGCCAATGGGCTTGATGAAGGGCGAAGGACTCCTTCCTGAAGCATATATTGTATTTGTTCATATCAATTATGTCTCCAGTATATACATTTACATATATACTTCTAGTAATATATGTATGTAAAAAAGATTTTCTGTTCAGATTTTGGAATATTATTGAGATATATAGAATTATTACTTTCTGATGCTGATTTTAGAATACACAAGTTATTATAAAACACTTAAAGTTGCACCGCATAAGTTTCTTTTCTGTGAAAAATCAATATTTATTTCAAAGAGAAATATTTACTATTTCTAACTTTTTTGGATGAAGTATGAAAGGGTGAAAATATGAAGAGTAATGGCGAACGGAAAAATAAAAGTGTCCAGGGGCGGGAATCGAACCCACAACCTTCCGCCCACCGGGCAGATGCCTACCGGGCAGATGCCATGTCCACTAGGCTACCCTGGACGTATTCCTCCGTTCGTAAATAATACTTAAAGTAACTTATAATTTAGATTATAATCATACGCCGCAGTCCTTTATAATGTATTATAAGTTACTTTAAGTATTATTTACGAATGGAGGAATACGTCCAGGGTAGCCTAGTGAACATGGCATCTGCCCGGTAGGCATCTGCCCGGTGGGCGGAAGGTTGTGGGTTCGATTCCCGCCCCTGGACACTTTTATTTTTCCGTTCGCCATTACTCTTCATATTTTAACCCTTTCATACTTCATCCAAAAAAGTTAGAAATAGTAAATATTTCTCTTTGAAATAAATATTGATTTTTCACAGAAAATAAACTTATGCGGTGCAACTTTAAGTGTTTTATAATCATACGCCACAGTCCTTTATAATGTACACAAGTTATTGTTATGCAGTCATGGAAAGAATAAAAAAAACAATTTGGATAAATATTGCTTTAATTTAGCTTATGAAATATTTAAAACATAAATTGAGAAAAGTACTGCCTTACTTGAGGCGTAAAGAATAAAATAAAAGATTACCTATTTACATATTTGATAATAAAAAGGCATGATATTGGATTGAATAAGAGATTTATTATCTAATGAAATAAATATGGATTGCTCTATTTTCAAAACGTATTTACATATGTACAAAAAGATTTGAGCCAACCAACGAGAAACAACAATATAAGGAAAGCTATAACATCTGGCAGTGACTTTACAGAGTAGTTTGTTCTAAAACTTTAAAATGAAATAAAAGTTTTTATGTAACATACATATATACTTCTTGACAAAGGTTATTATTTTATATTTTCATTGAGAGAAATTTTTGAAGAAAGTACTTAATTTTTTTTGGCCATTGTGTATATATTTGATTGTTCTAAGAGTGTAGTCATGTCAGCAGGAGCAGCAGTCCATCCCAGAGTCCCAGCCCTCACAGATCTGCATCGTCCTAGATTCTGCGGACGATGAACACAATGTACGTACTCGCTGCAACTTTCCTCTACACTCACACCTTGCCTCATATTATTAGGTACAATATTTAGATTATAAATTAGAATATGCGATAAAACGAAATAAAAGAAGAAAAGTTTCTTTAATAGACAATTATAACGGTTGCAAGCTTTCGGGCAAAAAAACCCTTCTACAGGCGTGGTAAACGTGACACTATAATGTAGGTACTATGGCTAGAAAGAGAATATATACACATGATTATTTACATATTAGCGGAATGTGCTATGTAAATGGGGATTTGCATTTGTTATGACTATTGTAATTAAAGATATAATAGGCAAATAGGGCATTTGTATATTTGGAGTTTGAGACTATAGAGGAATATGCTAACGTAAATTACTGGATATGCGATATTTCAAAGAATTTTAGGTAATGTTGATATCGGGCTATCGTGTTATGGTTATTACTTTTTTGCCCGAAAGCTTGCACCGTTATAATTGACTATTAAAGAAACTTTTCTTCTTTTATTTCGTTTTATCGCATAAATAATACCGAGAAGATTATCACTGTCGTTATAAATTAGAATGGTAGGTAATAAGACCAAATAAATTGTGTGTTATTTTGATAACACTGTTGTTACCATCATCAGACAATATGAGTATTTTTATCAGAACACTACTTTTACCTGAAGATGGTAACAATACTGTTACAGAAACAGTCACACTATTTATTTGGTCTTATTACCTACAAGGTTACAATTCTTATTACCTTGTGGTTCTAATCTATAATCCAAATTTTTTCTCATGTCTTATTACCTTTTTTAATTTTCCTCGGATTTATCCAAATTAATCTGTGCTTGTCTTAATTAACTTTTCCTGTTGGTAAATTTTATCTTCTTTCTTATACATAACACCACTCAATCAAATCAGATATCGAATTCGCTCGTCACGCAATTTTGGCTTGCATTAGATGCACTAAACAGGACCTTTGGGAGAGGCTGCTGCTTATCATAAAACAGTTCGAGGAGCATGGACTCATGGAATTCGTGTAATCTTTACACAAGGGGATAAGAAACAACAACAACAGATATAAAGTGTAGAGCTTGTTGATGGTGTCTGCTAGGGATGAACAGAGCTCATCAATGGATGAGCCAATACAGTCAATGATGTTTTTCCCTAAACTTTGTTATTACCATTAAATGTGATTATCTTTTACTTAAAAAAAAAAAATATTTTCATTTGTAGACTCCTTTGCAAAACCATTTATAAGACTACATGTCTTGATAAAGGCTTTTTTTTTGTATGTGTTTTGGATCATATTTGGGCCCAACATTAGTTCATTGTCATGTAAATTTGTGTCTTTTGATATCAATAAAATTGACAAAGCTGTTAGGCAAAGTTTATGCTGGGGCTATGAGTGTGAACATAGTTGGAATTAGAAGTTATTACCATAAGGAAACCAATTGAAATATCTAATCTAATAATTTAGACCCTGTGTGTGGGGGGTTTGGTGGAAGGATGGTCTAAACCGTTGGTTCTCGACCACTACGACCTGGGTTCGATTCCCGCATTGGGCACTTTTTATGTTAAAAAAAAAAATGCTTCAATGGCCCTCGATTCTTGCAAAAGTCCAACCCCACCAGCGAGTGTAATTAACCAAACGGGGCTCTGGCACATTTGTAAGTGCAAAGTCCAACTGATTTTCACATGTGTAGACATGTGGTGCTCTTACAGTAAAAGCAGTCGCCTACTTCTACCCACCATGATTATCATGGCCTGTACCACGTGTACTAGGGATAAGCAAAAAAAAAAGACACTGTGTGTGACCCTAAAATCTGAATTAAAGAGATTCCTGTAGTTGAAATATACTTGCAATGGCAACACCTGCCATCATCTGTGCTTGTGTTCCTTCCAGGCTGAGAACTTCCGTGAGACTGTCATGTTCGGACGGACCCAGGACCAGATTGAGATGACAGAACAAGCCCGGTCTTATTTAGAGGAGCAGGATTCTGGGGTGTCTACCTCCTACTATCTAGCTATGGTAAGTTCTACGTCCTTCTTTCTAACCATGGTAAGTTCTACCTCTTTCTTTCTAACCAATTAGGTCTGGGGCTTCATTTTCTAACTTTTAGTTTCAATCTTTCCTATTTTGTCAAAAACATTCCCAAGGTACACAAGGTAATAAGACCAAATCCAAATAAATAAATAGTGTGTGACGTCTTAGTTGTTGTTGTTTCTTATCCCCTTGTGTAAAGATTACACGAATGTGACGTCTTAGTAACAGCGTTGTTACCATCATCAGACAAAAGTACTGAATGTCATACAAATAAATAGTGTGTGACGTTTCAGTAACAGCTAATGTAACAGCTAACTGAATATCATTCAGTACTTTTGTCTGAAGATGGTAACAACGCTGTTACAGAAATGTCACACACTAATTATTTGGTCTTATTACTTTGTGTTTATTATCTATTACCTTATCATTCCCAAGATATTCTCCTATTGAAAAGCCAATTGTTGGATGAATGTTATCATTGATCAATTCTAAAGTTTTGTCTTTTTGTTTGTGCAGGTGTAAGAGAAATTGCTGGTGGTGGTTTTAACAAACATATATGTAAATAAGTTTTTATATCTCTCTGTATGTTTATAGTTGTTAATATTTTTTTAATAAGATATATATATATATGCACACTTAATTTATTTAAATTTGACACATACATAGAAAAAAATTGAAATATAACATGAGAAAGTAAAAAAAGATATATTTATAGAGTAGATATGGATGCAGATATGGATTGTATGAAAAGTTAGGTTTCCCCTCAACTGCCCTCAGGTCACTTCAGTATTATTTCATGTGTTTGATAGCAGTATGCAAATCTTTTAATTTCTCCTTTAAAAAAAAAAAAGAAAATCCAAATAATTAGTGTGTGACGTTTCGGCAACAACATTGTCACCATCATCAGACAAAAATGAGTAAATATTTTCTTTTGTGTGATGATGGTGACAATGTTGTTGCCGAAACGTCACACACTAATAAATTATTTGGATTAAGTCTTATTTTCTTTTTTTTTTTTATTATAATCTATAATCCAAATTGTACTTTATCAATTTCTCCTTTCTTTCCTTTTTGGCTTCTCTCAACTTGTGAAAAACCATCTTGATGTTAACTACAGTCCATCCTTCATTTCAGACTGACATGCACCCAGACACAATTCTAGAAAGATAACTAATGAAAAGTAAAATCGAATATAAGATTTTAAAATGGAAATTTTCTGATTCCCTTCGGTTTCCAAAATCACTTTATTAGGTACCGCTCAAAAAGAGCAACCTAGTTTATGGTAATTGAAACAATGAATAATATGTAAAGGCTATTCACATATTGAAACAAAATGTTAACGCAGGATTCAATCCCAGTTCATGGCTGTTGGGAATCGAGGGTGTTACCCACTCGTCCACCGACTATTTATTCTGATATCCGATGATAGCTTTGTTTGAGAACTGACATTTTATTGTTATTAAAACCATTGTTAAAATAATTGTCACTAACCACAGTAAATTTGATGAACAAGGTTTTTCTAATCCCTCAGTGGATAACTAACTCTCACAGACCATGCACACAGTATAACAACACAAGGTAAAAACACCTAATCCAAATAAATAGTGTGTGATGTTTTGTTAACAGCGTTGTTACCATCGTCAGACAAAAGTACTGAATGATATTTAGTCTTTTCTCGGATGGTAACAACGCTGTTATGGAATGTTACACACTATTTATTTATTTGGATTCGGTTGTATTACTTTGTATTTCTAATCTGTAATCGGTGAATTGTGCCTTATCAATTTTGATGAGATCAATTTTAGTATTAGCTCCACTTACCTAATTATAACACCCTGGTTTACAATGCTTGTTTATGGTATTACATTTAGAAACTGATGGCTTGTTGTTGTTTCTTATCCCCTTGTGTAAAGATTACATGAATTCCATGCTCCTCGAGGTGTTTAATGATAAGCAGCGGCCTCTCCCAAAGGTCCTGTTTAGTATATCTAATG